CCCATCCAGAAAGGAAACAAATCCCTGCCACCTTCCCCATCCCGGGTCAGGAGGCCGACATGTCACAAAATCTGAATGTGGCCACACCTGGCCAGTGTCTCCGTCAGGGTGGCCAGCAAGGGTGCTGGGCTTGAGTCAGTGATCGCACCTTCCAGGTGTCCTGAGTGGTCCCCTGTAGATGCCCTGGCTGCCAGGAGCTTGGCTTCCAGAGGGAATCTGCCTCGGGAATACCCACAGGCTCACGATATCATGCCAGGTGAGAAGAGCAAAAGAACCAAACAAAAAAAATTGGTTTTGATTTTTATACATATGAAAAATCACGTAGATTTGGAAGAAAGGAAGGAAACGGTGTCATTAAGCCATGAACATGCCTGGCCTCACCACTTTACAGTCTCTGTGATGAGCCTGCATCATTGGTCATTAGAATCCCCTTGTAACTTTACAGGGAAAGAGGAAGGAGAGGAGGGGGAAAGAGGAGGAGAGGAGGAAGGGGAGGAGGGGGAGGGGGAATAAGTAGAAGGAAAAGGAGAAGGAGAGGAAGGGGAAAAGTGTCAGTGACTGTCTCCACAGAGGGCTGGCCCTGTGTTCTTCCCCCGGAGAGGGACCCAGTCACCGTCTTCAAACACTGACTGACGTCATGAACCCTGCACGGGACTCCTGAGAAAATGTACGTAAAACGTCTGCTCTGGGGCTTGGCATGCAAAGCAGAAAGATGCCCAGGGAAATGATGCCATGGGGTCATGTCATTGAGTTGATGCATTACCGCAGGGCTCCGGGGCCAAGGCGGGGCAGGGCGGGTGGCACTGATCTGTCCTCAGTCTCCCCCCAGCCCTCCCCTGCCCGGGGCTCCGTGCCTCCTGACCTGTCACTGGACCTGGCAACGATCCTCCCTCGTCTGTTTTTCTGCTTCTCCCCTTTATCCTTAGTGCGGGTCTCAATCCATCTGCCCTGCAATGCCCTCCTCCCACCTCTGGACTAATTTGGGTGGAAGCTTTGGATGAGCGTCCTTAAGTCAAGCTGTCCCCTCTCCTCCCCCAGTCCTCTAGCTATCCATCAGTCTGTCTGTCTCTCTATCCATCCATCCTTGGCTCCCCCGACCACAGGCCCATGTCCCTTGTGTGGCTGCAGACATTGCCAGGCAAGGTCAAGGCCAAGGTCAGGTGGTCTCTCTGGTGTGGGAGCCGCAGATCTGTCCAGCTCTAGCCTCAAAATGCCAAAGGCAGTGACCAGATCTGAGCCCAATAGCTCAGGGGTCAGAGACCTGCCTCCTAGGTCCTCCCCCATCACTTTTCTTTCTTTGCTGCTCCTTGTACTTCTCCTTGCCTTGCCCCAAACCCCAAACCTAAGCCTCTAAGGATGGGTGCCCACAGCTCTCCTGTGACTCCTGTGCCCTTGACACAACTGAGAGGACACAACTGGCCTGGGTGTTCAAAGACAGACATGCAGCCTTGTGTCGTGTGTGCATGGGGGCCTCAGCTCTGTGAGCAGGGGGCATGCCTCTTGGCCCTGAGCCCTTGAGCTGGGCACTGATCTGATTCCCCTGCTCCAGGCCAGGCTCCATGAGGCCCTCGGGCTAACTCTGTGAATCCTGGCACATGAGATCATGCCTATGGTGTGAATGGATGCATTTTTAATCACAGTGACAGTGTCAGCATGCTCAGGGGTTCCCCTGGGGCTCTTGCAGGAGGGACATTCTAACCATTGGGAGTCCCTCAGATACTCCAGCACATCATGACAGGGTGTCCCAGGAAGAGCTGTGGCCCCGGAGACCTCCCAGACTCTTGGACACTCAGCTGGAAGTGAGTCACTTGAAATGAACATGATCCCCTAAACATCTGGTCGAGACTCAGAAACTGGGTTATTGTGCAAAACGTTTGACACACACAATAGCCCTGTGGGCCAAGAAAGGGCACATGGGGGTGACATCCATGGGGGTGACCATGATCTTCCTCTCACTGGTCCAGAGCCTTGGGCAAGTGTCCTGAGCCTGCTGAGCCTGACTTCCCTCCTCAAAGATTGGGCTATGGCCATCATTAGGGAAGGACACAAGATTTCTGGCTCTTCCCCTCTGGACATGAGGCAGTTTGCATTTCCCCTGGGGTAAGGTGTGGCTTTCAGTCATGGGAATTTGGACAGTGGTAACCTGTGTTGCTGCCAGGTCATGGCCTTAATGGATGGGTATGAGGCTTGCCACATGCCTTTGACCTGCAGGACCTGAGTCGGGAAGCTGGACACAGAAGCTCCAGCACCCCCTGCAATGAACACCTGGCATGAGTAAGACATAATCCTGGGTGATTTAAAGCCACTGATATGTGGGGGCTGTTTCTTCCTGCAGCAAACCCAACCCATCCTGACTGACACGTGGTGGTAATACGACCTTCTGTGTGATGGTGTGACTGCACGTGGACCTGCTCTGGCGTGGTCGCTGTCTTCTCCTTCGCCCCTTCCCTGACGAGGAATCCAGCTGTGCAGGCGGGGGTAGCACAGCTTCCCAGGACTCAGCACAAGCCTGTCCCCCGCTCACCCCGCACCCTGAGTCCGAGGCAGCATCTCAAGGCAGAGGCAGCAGGACTTCTCTGTCTGGGAGAAGCCACGGATGGGCTGTGATTTGCCAAATCAACAACATGAAATAAAGGTCAGATGAGTCCAATCCGCTGGAGACCTCTCTGAGATGCGTGCCTGTGTGTGAGAGAGCACGCCTGTGTGCCTATGTGTGTGCATGTGTGTGTTTAAACATCAATTAACTCCTCAAGCCCAGTTAAAATGGACGTGTAGGATGAAATCATCTGCTGTATGACCTTGTCTTAAAGGTGAGGATGAGAGACTGGGTTCAAATCCCACTCTGTCATTTCCCACGGGGGTGACCTTGGGGACTGGCTGCCCCTCTCCGAGCTCCAGTCTGTTGGTCAGTACAAGGGAGACACGAAGGCATGACCTCCCAGCATTGACAGGGGTTGAGAGGATCCTGGCACACAGCAAGCGCTCAGCAAATGCCAGTGTCACCGTGCACGTCTGTGCCGTCCACTCCCAAACTGCGGCAGGAAAGGGAGATGGCGTGTTTTGTGTGAGGGTACATGACATAGAAAGCTTAGTGCTGGGCCAGGTGAGGGCTCTAGAGTTTCTCCACTTAAATTATAGGGGTGGTAGGGGGATGTGCATTGACAAAGGAGTGGTTTCAAGTTTGCCTTCCCCATAATAATGAATATTTTACTGACTCCTGGCTCTGCTGGCTTTGAACCAAAGACGAAGAAACTGTTTAAGGGTTGAAGTCAATTGAAAAGACTACTTGTTATGTTCTGGCCCTGCTGCTGAAGGTGTCCGAGGATGGGAGGAATTGGGTGTCGGGCCCAAGGAGCCCCCAAGGCACATACGCTCAGAGGCAGGGTGCTTGTAGCTAAGATGGTCAGAGATGCTGTAAAAGTCACACGGAGAGTCAGCCTCTAACTTGGAGACTGATGAATGACAGACAGAGAATGTCCACCAGGAAGAGGCTGTGGGGCAGAGGGGCCGGGTTGGATGGTGACCGCAGGACCTCAGGCTGACAGTGTCTGCTCCCTGAGCCTCAGCCTCTCTATAGCAAAGTGAGAAGGACAGGACACCCCAGCTCAGGGCTGCATGGATATCTGAGCACAGAAAAAGCCACGCCACGTGCAGGGGACGTGGCACAGAGTAACTGCTCTGTAAAGCAGGAGTAACCACCACGTGGGCCTGTGGCCGGGGCTGCTGACCTTGGACTCAGCCACGCTTGTGGCAGAGTCTCTGCGACATGCTGGGCTTGAAGCTAGTCAATTAATAGGCAGACTATTAGCTGAGGGGAAGGCGAGAAAGTTGAAATAGGCCCTGAGAAGGGATGGTGGGTTTTCACCTCTCACATCTGATGGGTTCTCACCTCCACTGACATCACCTCTATCATGGGCAGTGGGAGCTCTGGGGGCATTAGAGCAGAGAAGCTTGACCCTCTTTGGAATGCAGCTGGGGGCCCACTTTTAAATCCTTGTTGGGATGCCTGGGTGGCTCAGCGGGTTGAGCGTCTGCCTTTGGCTCAGGGCATGATCCCAGGATCTGGGATCGAATCCCACGATCTGGAATTGAATCCCACATCGGGCTCCCCATAGGGAGCCTGCTTCTCTGTCTGTGTCTCTGCCTCTCTCATGAATAATAAAAAACAAAAAACACCTTAATAAATAAATAAATCCTTGTGTTTTGTGTTCCTGCTCCCAGAGAACTCTTTGATCTTATTCCCTGCCTTCCTCATCCTCCTTGCTCACTCTGTTCCAGCCACACTGGCCTCTTTGCTGTTTTTTATACAGGCCAAGCATGGCCCTGCCTCAGGACCCTTGTACTTGCTGTTTCTCTGCCTGGACTTTTCCATTCCTGGGCTGCTTCACTTCACTCAGGTCTCTGCTTCCCTTTTTAGCTCAGAACCATAGAACACGGGTTTTTGTTCCCACTGTATCCCCACTGCCTGAAACAGTGCCCAGCACAGAGCAGGGACTCAATAAATACATGCTGAATAAACGAGCATGTATGAATAGATTCTTCACCTACACAAAAGGAACTTGTATCTATTTCCCAAGTTTACATTTTCCTGTCCACTCTGGTCACCCTTAGGACAGCGACCCCATGAGCTTGGTTATGAGGATGACAACGAGGATGTCCTATGCATGGCATGTTGCGGTGTGCACTGTAACTCTAACATGGACTTTGCCTAACACCCTGATAAGCACATTGTGAAAGTGCAGGTCTGAGATTCTAACCCAGGTTTCCTTGCAGACCCTTGGCAATGAGGCAGTCCTTTGCATTTAGTGGCAGCTCCTGGCAGGTGCAGGCAGGAGAAAGAGGATTCAGGGTTGGAGCCAAAGCCCATTTCTGCCTTCCTGCGGCCAACAGTGTGAGTTTCCAGTTGAGAGACTCAACTCCGCTCTGCGGATCACCCCTCACGCAGAGGGCTGCCGAATCAGAGGGCATCCTGTGGGCAAGGGACCACGGGTCAGTCATACCTGAATGAACGGGAAGAGGAGCCCGACAGCAAAGTTGGAGAGCCAGTTGACGGTGCCCGCAATGATGAAGGCAGCTGGCCTCTGGGATTGTTGGAAGAACTCGCCAGTCAGGATGAATGGGATGCCCCCTGCAATGTCAGGGCAAGGGCACAGAGTGAATCACACTGAGAAGTTCATGCCGCCAGCATCCACCTCCGACGGCAGGGTAGCACCCTCTTCATAAGAGCCGGCTCTGCCTGGGTGAGTGACAGTCTCAAGGATGGATGCTGGAGTTAGCCCATGACTCCTAAAAGTATACAAACCATCTCCCTGATCTGGCCCATCCAAATGAGAGGTGAGTCATCCTCTTCGCTCTCCAAATGCTTTCTGAATCAAGCTGAAATCCGCTACAAAATGAGTATAATATGTACAAACTTGATTTACAAGGCAACTGACATTTACTGATTCAGTGTGTCAGGTACTGGCAGCTGTACCTGGATGAGAAAACTGAAGCCCAGAGAGGTCACTGGACTTCCCCAAGATTACCCAACCCCTGGGTAGCAGAGCCAGAACTCAGGCTTGGGAGTACAATCTCCAAATCCCAGCCCTTTTCCCCATTAATCCTTGCCTGAAAGGATGGAAGCCTCTGCCCAACTGACTATCATTCTGTCCTCCTTATCTTCCCGTGACTGGGTATGTGGTGGCCCCACTCATCACCCCAGCAGTGGTTACTCAGTAGAAATGTGATTGCATTAAAGGAGGAGAATTCTTTATTTTGAAGTCTGTCCTGTGCAATTGCAGGATGTTTGTCACCTCTCACCTCCTAGATGCCAGAGCTCCCCTAGTCACTGTGGCAACCTGAACTGCTTGCACACATTTCTAAATGTCTGCAGGGTACGACACCTAGCTGACAGTCTCCTCTTCTAGTACTCAGTGAGACCTGGGATTGGGCCCTGTGCCCATACCCCAGACCTGGGGCTCTGCATGACCACTGGAGGCCTGTTTGTACCCTCCCCCAATGGGGTTCTCACTCTGCCAATCAGATCTATACATTGGCATTCCACAGACAAGGGGAGTGACAGTGGAATGCTTGAGGGACCTTTACCAGACTCCAAGGAGACACTGAAAGGTCCGACCATGATTATTGACTGCATTGGGGTGGTCCCACAGTGGTGGACAACAGGGACAATGTCCTGCCCTCATGGAATCCCCTCATCTGGTTGTGGTGGGGAGAAAGATGACTTGTTTATCAAAAAAGAAGTGAACGAATAAGTAATTTCAACATGTGATAAGCATAGAAGGAATGCAGTGAGCAATGCGGGAAGCCTGCTTTTGTAATGGCCAAGAGGGTCTCTCTGGGAGGTGATGGCAGAGATGTGACCTGAAGGAAGAGACACAGCTCACTAAGATTTGGGGAAGACTGCTGGGTGGAGGGATGGCAGGGCAGAGGTCCTGGAAGGTGAAAGGGATTGGGTCAAGGTCTAGAGCAGAGACCATTCTGTCTGGACAGCTGAGCGAGGGGAGAGAGGAACCGTGTGAAGCAGAAAAAGTGAGAAGGACCAATTAAGCAGCCTCTTATAGATCAAGGAGAGATCTACTATTGAAGAAAACCAATGTGGGGTTTCAAGTAGGGGCTGATGTGATCTGCTTGCATTTCGTAGACATTACCGCTGTTTGGAGAGGGGACTGGCAGGATGGAGGAGTGGCTGCAGGGAAGCTGCCAAGCAATGCAGGAGGGAGGCCATGGTTGTGTAGAGGGGTTGTGTGGTGGCAGCAGGGATGGAAGAAAGGGGAAGAATTCAGAGACGTCACCCCAAGGAGGCAAAACTTTCACTGTGAGCCTTGGACACAACCGCAACACTCATCATCAAGTTCAACCACGCAGCCCAAGGTCACAGAGCTGGGATAACTCCAGCCTGTCTCTCCAGAGCTTTCCCTATTATCACTCCTTTAATCTGCCAGCAAGTCTTGGACTAAAACACGTCAAAATGACTCAGGAGGGACTGTCCCTCCAATCCCCACCAGACCATGAGCCCTCCAGGGCAGGCAGCCTCCCCACTGGTCTCCTTGGCAGAGAGTAGATACTTGATCGATATTTACTTACTTGAATTAGACACTCAAAATTTGATTTTGAAAAGATTGGATACCCTGTTAACTGAAAGTAGACTTTCCATATCTTGAAGGTATCTATCAAACTGTGCAGGAACAATGGTTACACATTGAAATGTGCTAAAACCAGCCTTTAGGTCTGTAGAGAGCAGATGTTGTTGAAAGTGTTTGTGTCACACACTTAGTTGTTGACTGCACTGGGGTGGTCCCACAGTGGTGGACAGCTAACACTGCTGTGAGCCTTGCAGCATATCCTTGGGGGTGAGTTCACAGCTATGTGGAGCCTGAACAGGGTTGAAGGCTGGTGTTTCACCTTCCCTGATTTCCCTAGGTGTGTTTTGGAAGCATCTGTGGATAACTCTGTTAATGTTTCTGACGCTGGCACGTCAGCTCACAATGACGCAGAGAATGTTGACACACCTGCCTCCCCGCATGTATCTTTGTTTCTTCAGGGATTTATTTCATTTAATTACCACAATTATGTGATAGCTATGACTACTATTCTTCCCATTTAATGTATAAAACTGAGGCCTAAGAAACTAATTTCCTCAAATCCTACCACCAGTGAGACTCCATCTCCTCAAGGGTGAGTGACTGCCACTGTGAGTCTTAACGAATCCGTTGTGATGCAAGTAAGACCAAGATGCTTATAATTTTTTAAATATGGGAAGGGAACTTAGAAGTCTTCATGGTTTTATTTGAATGCCCTCCCAAATCCTGGAATTAGTTTGTTTCTCTTTGTCTGCCAGCATTGATAGTTTAGTTTCCTAAGAGCCTCTCACTGTTTCTTTAATCCACGGTAAAATGAGAAAGAATGGGGTCGATATAAAAACAGAAGGGATGGGATCCCTGGGTGGCTCAGCTGTTGAGCGCCTGCCCAGGGTGTGATCCTGGAGTCCCAGGATCGAGTCCCACATCGGGCTCCCTGCATGGAGCCTGCTTCTCCCTCTGCCTGTGTCTCTGCCTCTCATGAAAAACAAAAACAAAACCAAAAACAAAACAAAACAAAAAACAGAAGGGATTTCTGGTAGGCTCTTTATTTTTGTGTTGTTTTTCCAGATGAGAATAGTGTTACTATATTTTTCTGATTGTCATGAGTAATATTTACCCATTTCTAACAATTAAAGAAAGCATACACTATAGAAAAGTATGAAAGGAAACAGAAGTCATCCCTAAACCTCCTATCCAGAGATGATCTCCACTTGTTTTGGTACTTGGCATTGATATTGACTGTTGCTATTAAGAAGCCTAGAGCTAGTCTAATATTTCTCCTTTAGATGATTGGCTTTTTCCACCTAAGGCCCCGAAGAAATCTTTCCTTTTGCTTGAAACTATTAACTTAACCATTCACTATGATGTGTCTAGTGCTGGTCTCCCTGTAATAGTCTTTCTTAGAACATAGCATGTCCCTCCCAAGCATAGATCCATTCTCCATCTACTCCCCACCTCAGACTTAGAACTCTTCTGTTCTACTTGTTGGGCTCTACCCCAGAGACAGTTATTATCTTTATGCTGGATCGATTTTGTCCCTCTTCCATATCTTTCATCTCCTGAATGACTTTATCCTCTTGTTTTCACACAGATTTTGCATGCTCTGGGCAATCTCTCCCTTCTTTATCTTTGACATCCCTTGTCTCTTCTTCCTTCTATTTGTTCTATGTTGGCACATTCTTTAAGCCATTGCTCTTTGTCTGTCTTTACATAGAGTGAGTAACTCCATCCAGATTTCCACCTTCTCTGATATGGTGATTCATCACTGACACTTTCTCTTATCTTCTTCCAGGGTGTCTTTCAAATCACAGTTTGAGGCATGAATATGTCTTTCAGTACTTTTCCGTGAATGGAGGGCATGCTGGAGGTAGAGAGTAGAGAAAATGGGGTGGGGGCTGCTGGCAGGCCTTTCTGGAGCATCTGGGTTCTATTCTAGCCTCTGAGATTTTAAATGACGTGTACCAGAGTCCATTCCCAGAGGTCAGGAGTACACTCAGCTTCTGTGGGCTTCAACAGGTCTCCTCAAATTAGAAAAAAGTCTTGGAAAGTGAGAAGCCTTTTGAGAAGCTCTGGGGGAAGGTATCTTTTCTCAGGATTGCTGACTCACCTCCTCACTCTATTTTCCCCACAAATCAGGGGTGTTAGTAAGGGCTCTTAGGGGTTTTTGAATCCCCTTCCCTGGTCAATGCTGTTTCTGAAGGGTTGAGACAGAATGTACTATGCTAGAATATTCTTTATTGGTTGCTGCTGGCCATTTTTTTCCTGTGTAAAGTTTGTTTGGTTGTTGCTTTTTTTAAAAAAAAAAAACTTTAAAAAAGAGATTTTATTTGAGAGAGAGAAAGCAAGAGAGGAGCATGAGGAAGGAAAGAGGCATAGGCAGAGGGAGAAGCAGACTCCCCGCTGAGCAGGGTGCCTGATGGATGTGGGGCTTGATTTCAGGACCCTGAGATCATGACCTGAGCTGAAGGCAGAGACTTAATCAACTGAGCCACCCAGGTTAGGTATTTGTGGGAGGAAGATTCTGTAATAAGGTCATATTACATGACCATATTTACCTAAAATCTCTTGATAACTTGTTTTCTAAAGGTAAGGTATCAGTATTTCTTGTGGTAGGCATGCAGTTGCTACTCATTTTATAATAATGTGTTTCAAAATTAAAGAGCAATTGAAAAAAAATCCCTTCTAGTAAAGGATTTTGACAAATTCTTCCAAATTCTCTGGTTGCGGATCTTCTTGTTTACAAAAAGATTTTGCACGGATCTTTCTTCATGACCAAACTCTGAGTTACAAACTATCACTACAGATTAGGAAACTGAGACTCTAGAAGAGGAAGGGCTGAAGTTACTGGTCCCACTTGTAAGTGGAAGACACAGAGGCTACTTTTAGGCAACAGGCTTGAGCAATGGAAACCTGACCAAGGCACACGGGCCCATTGTAACCCCTGGACTGAATGCAAACAGGTGCCCTAAGTGACCCGCCTTGAAACAGCCATAGGCCCCAGTTGACCAACGGGCTACTTACACCTGGGCGCAGGTGTCAAAACCAGAAA